CTATTTGTTTCTTCGCAAACAATTTCTGAAAATTTGTGCCTCCGAAGAGATGCGTGGAAGAAACTGGACCACACCGGGTTATGCTATTTTAGGGGGAGAACAACATACCCACTGATGAGCAGAATCGTGGGTACGAACAGTAGCGTAGCGAGGGGGGGGGGTGCAAATCGAAAGTTTGAGGGGGGGGGGGGGTGCATATCAAAATCTCGAGGGGGGGGTGCAAATCGAAAGTTTTGAGGGGGGGGGGGTGCAATCAAAATCTCGAGGGGGGGGGGTGCAAATCGAAAAGTTTGTCCCCGGGCGCCGGGAAGGGTCGCTACGCCTCTAGGTACGAAATATACTTTGTGTGCGCGTTGCTCTGAATGGACTTGTGCAATCTACTTTTTGACTGACTGTGTAACAATGTTTATTCCAGACTTTTTTTCTCCGGGTGGGGGGGGGGGGGGGGGGGGGGGAGCGGACGGTAAACATTTGATCGGGGCAGGGGGCTCTGTGCCCCCCCCCCCCTCATCGAAGGGATGCCTGTGTAGCAGGCTCAGAATTACTGCTTGACCGTGCAGCTTTACTTTAATTTAATTTAAGGGAACTAAAGCAATCATCCCCATCTTTAAGCACTGCGATGGAAATGATAGAATATCACATCTAAAGTTTAGTTTACATACATACACAACCATACACACACATATGTGTGTGCATGTTGGAACGAGTCGTATGGTAATGTAATAAGTTTGTTAGAGAGCTGGTTAAGTGAAATAAAGAAGCATACATTATTTTGCATTATGGGTTGTTTGGACGTAGGGAAAGCGGCCTAAAATAGAACTACATACATCATTTATGAACGAATCTTAACAAAATTGGAAGAGTTATGGTGCAAGATAAAGATATATTTTACTACAGTATATCAATCTATTTAACTTTACAGTTGTGTAGGAAAGGAGAAATACACGCATGCAGAGCTTCCTCCTCACCCCTCCCCCTTCCCTTACAGTTTTCTTCGGTACAATTAATTCAGTGTTGCTTCAAATACTAAAACGATGTTACAAAAAATAAACTAGGACACAGTTTTTACAAAGGTTATTTAATGCGGTCAAAGGAAGAGGCGTAACTAGGTGATTTTTTTTGGTTCACTGAGGCAACGGTCGTAGATTTTTAGGAAAAACAATGACTGGGGAATATAAATGTAAATTGTTATTTCTCTCTCTCTCTCACACACACACTATATATATATATATATATATATATATATATATATATATATATATATATATATATATATATATATATATATATATATATATATATATATATATATGTGTGTGTGTGTCTGTCTGTCTGTCTGTGTGTACTATATATTTTTATAGAAATTATTAAGTGAAAGTAAACTGGTGACTTCTGCCTGTAGTTTGGAAAGTATCTTTGGTAATACATCCAAAAAAGCTATTCTTCTACAGTTTTAGATTTTAAATGAACAGCCTTTATTGATTGCAGGCTAGCGCGTTCGTGAACATACTTTTATAAAAATGCTTCAGTTTGAATGAATATTTATTATATATGTTTAAAATAGAAAGCAATAATTTGAAGAACTACGGATATATTTTGCGTAGGTTTGGACACGCCACTGCAAGGAGAAATAGCTTGGTACGCCACATGATCACACAAAGGAAGGGTCGAGAAGACCTTTCTTCGTTAAAAAAAAACAACGCTGAACCAGTCCCTACATTATTTTCTGCTTTGACCTTTTTCATATGTGTTAATTCTGAACTCTTTTTAATAATATGTAAAGAAAATAAAGGTCAGTCACCTCCCCTTTCATAGAAAAGTTGCTGCACTGTTAGTATGTAAGGACGTTATGTCGAGATAAATGATAGGTAACATGACCTTTTTCTTTACATTGCAAAACTAAGGACATTCAATGATGATGCAACTGAGCTAATTATCACTTGACACTTGGCGTATTTTGTACATTTTATTATCACTTCAAGATATATGACTTATTGTATTTTAAATCTTTAATTATTTTAAAAAAAAATCTAGCCTTCGATACTTAGTCTTGTTACGCCATATTATATTGATTGGCCTCGATAGGACTTATAATTGAATCACAAACCTTTTTCCCCTTTAATTATAGGGAATGCTTATCATAAGCTAACGATATATTAAACTACGGCTTTGTTTTGTTAGGTAAACTAACAGCATATTCTATAAAATGTGTAAACAAAAACTGTAATTAAAAAGTTATAGAAAACATAAAAGCACTCGTATCTCACAAATACTGCATCAATATAACGCACTTTAGTCCATGTGTACTACACTAATTGAGCGCCCGAATTTCACATAGACGGGGGTGGGGGCAATCCAAAGAGACAACAAATATAGACCATATAAAATGTAAGGCTACACTAACGTTTGCCTAATGAAATTATTTAGTGAATTGGCGCTCATTATTCTCTAGATAACGTAATTTTACTGGCGTGTTCAAATGAATCCTATCTACTCGTTCAATGCAGTCCGATATAGCTTCAACTTCAATGTTTATCCTTCCTTCGGGTGTATATTTTCTCCTTCAGAACTCCTGTCTTATTGTGATTGTCCTTCAATCGTTTGAGTTGAATCAACTTTCTGCATCCCCTATTTTTACACTACCTTTTTAACTGCAAACGTATTTTACCTAATCTACTATGAACTTTTAAAGTAAGTTTATCCTGATGATATATAACGATAGTAGATCTAGTATATTTTTGGCCAGCTCATTCTTTCTGTACAGTGCCATGGCGATTAAAAGGGTTAACGCGTGAAAAAAAAAAGGCAAAAAATAGCAAAATATATAGAGAAAAAATTGAGGAGGGGAGGGGGGTGGGTGCAAATCGAAAGTTTGAGGGGGGGGGGTGCAAAATTTGAAAGTTTGTCCCCGGGAAAGGTCGCTACGCCTGGGGGGGGGGGGGTGTGACACCATTAAATGCCGCACCAGGTGACACCCGACCTCGCTACGCCACTGCTAGTAGCTTACCTCAAGTGCTGCAGAATTAAACTGCTTTTTTTTTTTTTACACTTTTAGACGTGTTTTTTTTATTTATTAACAAGAATAAGTTTTTAAAAGTATTCAGCACACCACAGATATTATTTTTTCAAAAGAGTTCCCGTATTTGAAAATGTAGTAGGCTATACCTGACTAAATGCAGAAGTACTTGTGTTCGAACTAAACAAAGTAAATAATTTAAAACTAAAACTTAATTTTAAACTATTAAGCTAATTAGGCCTATAGCGAATCAACTCCATAAGAAATAGATTCAGTAACTCAGTATTGAGTAAACCCCCCAACACCACCGCCACAAAAAAAGAGAATAAATATAATGAAGTTATTATAGGGTTGTGATTATTTTGAAGTTTTATAACAATGTGTTTAGAAAAGAATTGCGTGATTTGCGCCTATTTTGAATTGCAAGTTAACGATCTGGCTTTAAAAACAACAACAACAACAAAAAATGCTTTTAAGTATATAGCAAAACCTATGTAAAAAATCAAGTACCAGTAAAAGACGACCGTTTTAATTTTAGCTTTACTTATAAATCACCCATGGGTTTCACTGTTAGATTTAAGCGTAGAGTTAGTGCGATGAAGGACTAAGAAAAGAAAACATTTTGTTTACGCCCCTGAAGACCTTCTAAGAAGTTGACCTTAATGGCGGACTTATTGTTTTAAGGCCTTAAACATAAGTTTAAAATCGTTTTGATAAAGTGAATTGTTAATTTACTAAAGTGATTCCTTCGTTGATGATTTATCCCCCGTTTTTAGGATAGATCTGTTTCTCTGATCTCGGAAGGAAAAAAAATGATGTGGTCAACATTTTGCCCAGCTGTCTTTTCTTCCCCATGTCTAGAATCAGCTACTTCAGTTTTCTCGGTGTGGTATATATATTTAACAAAAATCACTTCATTTATTTTTAGCGAGCTACAGACACGTTTTGGGAACAGCTTAGAAACATGTCTGTTTTCCCGCTCCGACAAAAAGTCTATTTTAATTAGAGGTCGACTGTGGCGCGGAGACAGTACTGCACTATCAAACGGATCATACTGTACGCGCTGGTCGTCACGTATGAATGTTTTGATTCAAGGATGGTAAGAACATTTTTTTCTCTATATCAAAAACATCGGCACTGTTTTGAGAAAATAATCTTCAAATCTTCAATTCGTGTAAACAAGTTCAACAACTTAGCAGGAGTCAAAGAACGCATGTGTTTAAAAAGAAATGATTTATGTACGCCTTTAGGCCTACTGCTTTCTCCCGTAGTCTCGGTGTTTGTTGGTTGGCCATCTTCCAGCTGCGTCGCGTTTTGGGCCGAAGCCGTTCACATTCCCAAGTTCATCTCCGTGGCTTTGTAAACTTTCTTCGACTCTCGGTCCCACCCCTGTTTACCATAACCCCGCCCACTTGGTGCTCATCCATGCGTGAACGTCATTATCCTCCACTGCAAGGGGTTTGTCCTTATCATATCTTCGACGATCGCCATTGATGAAGGATAATCGCAAAATTCTTCTCTTTTGGTCAAATTTGCACGTTGCTCAGCTACAAAGGTTTGAATTTTTTAAAATGAAGATAATAATGTATTAATCGCAGGGTATGGTTTAGATTTTTGTATGCATTTGCTTTAAATTAGTTTAAATGATAAAGAAGTATAATTTATGAACAGAAAAAAAATTGCTTTTTATTTTAAATGCTAAATTAATTTTATAGTTTTTGTATTCTTGAGAAATGTATCAACTATCTATGGCTATTTTTCTCTACAATGATCAGTAGGCCTACAATTAATGATGAATTGATGTGTATTTTTGAAAATTTACCTTCTCGTTTTTACCGTTTCATTAAATAATTGAGAAATGTACAACAAACATATTTATCAGTTATTTTGTATTTTATTAATGTTTTCATTATTATGAAGTTACTTGTAGTAAAGTAATCAAGTAGTTTTCAAATTAACTTTTGTTTAATTTTTAGGAAAAAAAAGACCTAAGATTTGACTCCAACACACATGAACTGGAAGAAAACTTGTCGCTTGTTTTAAAGATAAAAAGACACAATGGTACAACCCTTGGGAAACGCTAACGATGATAACATTGAACAGAAATTTGTTGAGGTTTTAGAATCGCCAGCTGTCAGAAACTCATACTTTGTTGACCAACCGAGTGACCAACAAACCAGGTTGCAAAGCATTTCAAAACTAAATAACACGGAGGCAAGTGCTGATAAAATGGTGCCGCTAATTCCCAGTGCCTTTTACATTGCACACGGAACTGATGCCGAATCGTGGCAGCCGACACCTGCACAGAATAACTTGTATTACGATGAAGACGGGAACACCCTAGACATAGCTGGCTTAGAATTGAACTTTTACCAGTTTTTCCCCGCCTTCAACTTAAGCCACCCGGGGGAGGATTCGAACACAGTCCCCGTCACGAAGATAGTGACCCTGGCAATGTTTGCTTTCATTTTCATCCTGGGGGTCGTGGGGAACATTCTGGTCATCTGCACCCTGTCCCGCAACAGCCGCATGCGAACCGTAACGAATTTGTTCTTCTTCAACCTGTCTACAGCTCAGCTTCTCTACCTACTGGTCTGCCTGCCCACCCTGAGCATCAGTCACGCGCTGGTAGACTGGCCTTTTGGTCTCATCCTATGTAAGTACCCCACTTTTCAACGTTTTTTCTACATTCTATGGGAGGTATTTCGTTAATCCTATAGATAAAGCTTAAACATTATTTCATGACATGTATTCAGAGCCGGCGTTAGGAATACGCGGGGCCTAGGGCCAACCATCCGCGCGGGGCCTTTCCATTATATATATATATATATATATATATATATATATATATATATATATATATATATATTATATATATTATATATATATATATATATATATATATATATATATATATATATATATATATATATATATATATATATATATATATATATATATATATATATATATTTGTATGTATAAAAACCTATATAATGTGATGTACACATAATAAAACAAATGTTTTGGAGTTTATAAGCTAATGTCAAACTTTCCACTATAATAACAGATTTTTATCTCTCCCATGTATTAACCCAATGTTCTAAGTTTTTCCTTTGCTAAGATATTAAATTACTTTTAACAGTTATGTAATTCATACCAAATCACGAAAATTTAATGACGTGCCGAATAATTAGGAAAATAAAGTTTACAATACAGCGAACGCGGCCTGAGGTATCAAAACAGAGTAGACTTCAAAATTTGTTTAGAATTCATACAATATTTTAAAACCAAAATCATTATTGTCTTAATTATTGAACGGGTGAATCCTTAAGGTGACACAACATAACAACAGTTTTAACTTTCTTCCAAAAAATAATAAATCACTCTGTTTAATGCCGCCTGATATAGATCCTAAGCCCCCCCCCCTCGTCGCCCTCCTCCCACCCCTCTGCACGCAACTGAATGTTAATTTTGTTATACCAAGACAAGTAGGCCTACATATAGAGTTTCTTCCGGCCCCCCCCCCCCCCCGAAAACGAAATGAAATTTATATAATGTATAGAGAAAATATATACTTTTAACAGTGTCCGCACCCCCCCCCCCCCGATGAAAGTCTACCGCCCCCCCCCCCCGAAAATTTCAAGTGCACCCCCCCCCCCCCCGCCCGGAGAAAAAAAGTCTGGAAGAAACTCTGTACATATACGACATTATACGACATCTACAACAAGAAAGTCAGGACTAGAGTTCATCAGGTCACTAACTGTCTACTATAGACATCCCGTCTGCTCACTAAAAGGACGTCTTCATGGGTCCGCATATAATAGGGTATCTCTTTACGTCGTGGGCTAATTCTCGACCGCCATCTCCAGTCAGCTCAGGTCAAATGCCAGGCGACCGTACCCTACACAAAGGGGAGGTGTGACACTATTTTTGCATCGAATTACCACCTGTCCCAGTTCATGTGGGACTCACCAACATCAACCGTGGCCTCGGTTATAACAATCAACAACGTCGGTATTCGACCATTTAGTTTTTCCCAATTGAATTCAGCATGAATTTTTTTTTTAAGTTTACGAACTAATTCAGATAACAATGACATTGCTGAAGCGCGGGGCCCCTTCAAGCGCGGGGCCTATGGCGACCGCCCCGTTCGCCACCCCCTAACGCCGGCTCTGCATGTATTCAAATATAATGTGGCCTAACCTGGCTTATGTAATGCTTGGAAACTGATTAAACAGTTGACGTGTCTTATAAGTGAGCTACTTACTGATTTAATGTACACCTATCGACTTGAGTTGATACGTATATTGTTTAACATAAACCATCAACTATAAAACGATATTTTAATTGGTGGTAAATGTTTAGACTCATTAGACTATTTCCCTTTGTCTACAAGCTTTCATGTATTTGTTTTTAAGAAGCGGGGTTTTAAATTTTGTTTTATATTTTCGGAAATGCTACCCCATACCTTTAGTTGGACTCTCTAGTGACACAGCTGCTTATATGGGCTTATCGCTTCAACTTTAACTTAATTATAATAGTGTCCTAAGATATCTGATACGGAATCATTAAGTTTTCTTAGATCGTTAAAATTAATAAAATAATAAAAACGTTATGAGCTTATAACATGTTACACTTATTCTTTTAAACTGAGTATGTTGCAATGTTGAGTAATTCAGTTTTATAGCCTACGATTGTTTCATCTAATGTTTTGGTAGGACTCATGCAAGTTTGTTAAGATAATAATGTACTCAAAACAAGTTCATCTCAATTTTTTATTAAACACAAGGATGTTAGTTTTTTTTTCAAACTGTCTTAAAACAATGACCTTAACCACGAAAACAGAATCTTCCTAAACCTTATGGCATCACGCAGAGAGTTTCATTATCCGCATTAATCTAAAAATAGGACTGCGTTTCAATACAAGTGCATGCTTATTTATACAATTTTTGTGTCTGGTATACCAATAGTTTTGCTCACTCCAACTTGCACAGTTCACATAAATTAAAACCTTTTTTAAAAAAAAATTCGCGTCATTGGAGTAAGGAATAGTTGAAGAATATGAGACATGTGTAAGTTACAAAGGCAAAATTGACGGTGCAAGTATATTTTTAGTAGCTAAGAAAATCTAATATATAAAGCTTAGTTCTGTATGTGGCGGACAAAAATGTGCATCGTTGGCATTTCTACGGATTCAAGTGTTAGATCAATTATCGTGCGCAGTCGTCTAAATTTACGAGTCAAAAAATTACCATTGAAAGTCTTTAAAAACAATTTTCATTCTATTTACTTAAAAGAATAATTTTCAATTATGAACGCGACATAAAATTTTTAAAAAGTGTATCGACGTTTATAAAATTTCTAAAATTGTGTCGGAGATGTATTGACTGCACAGTTACTTCCCTTTAAAAAAAAATCATTAAGAAGAAAGAATTTACTTTTTATTATTACTTTGTTTTGGTGTTAAGAAAAAAAAATAATTACATAATCAGCGGGGATTGATTAAGTGCAATGTCGTTAGGTATTTTTAACACTGCCTTTTATTTATTCTATACACTGAACATACTGTTCAATAATTTTTTTTTTTTTAAATCAATAACATTTAATAAGCCATGGTCCTACAAATCCTATATGTTTCTTTCTTTCCATTTACGGATAAGCTTGGAGTGTTATCATTTTTGTTCACTAAATTGAAACAGGCGCGTCCGCCGGCGCCCCTGCACGGTTCGATTTGGCACCCTGGGCTATCATGTGAGCGCTATGCTGCATAATTTTGTTTTGAACAGTGCGATAGACTATGGATAAGAAAGGTTACTATAGTCTTTAAGTGAATCAAATCCGGGCGTCCTCCGGCACCCCGACAGGGTGCTATTTGGCGCCCCGGGCCTCTGCATAATTTTGTTTTGAACAGTGCGATAGACTATGGATAAGAAAGGTTACTATAGTCTTTAAGTGAATCAAATCCGGGTGTCCTCCGGCACCCCGACAGGGTGCTATTTGGCGCCCCGGGCCTTCCGGTGTACGCTAGGGTATCTACGTTCGCGTGAGTTCAAAAGACTATCGATAAGTTATGTACTATAGTCGTTTACTAAGTTCAATCAGGCGGTGACGTCATGGTGCGTCCTCTGGCGCCCAGACAGGGTGCTATTTGGGGTCCCGGGCCTCCCGTGTTCGGTTTCGCGCCTACGTTCATTAAAGTGAGTGCAAAAGACTATGAATAAGTTGGGGTACTATAGTCGTTTATTAAGCTGAAGCAGGCGATTCAGCCCCGTGAGCACTTTGCGTTTATGTTCGCGTTAGTATTTTCTTTGTGTTTAGGTTGGGTTTGCGTTAGTGGTTGCGTTTTGATTTGGTTCGTTTTTGTTCTTTCTTTTTTCGTTTTCGTTTGTGTTTTATTTTCATAGGGTTTGTGTTTGTGTTTGTGTTTGAGGTTGGTTTTACGTTTGGATTTGGTTTGTTTTCGTTTGTTTTTTCTTTTGTGTTTTTTTTCTTTGGGTTTGTGGTTGGTTTTGGGTTTTGGATTTGGTTTGTTTTCGTTTGTTTTTTCTTTTGTGTTTTTTTCTTTGGGTTTGTGGTTGGTTTTGCGTTTGGATTTGGTTTGTTTTTGTTTGCTTTTTTCTTTGTGTTCGTATTGGTGTTTGTGGTTGTGGTTGGTTTGTTGTTAGGTTTTTGTTTTCGTTTGTATTTGTAATTGTGTTAGCGCTATGTTTGCGTTTTGTTGTTTTGGTTTTGGTTGGTTGTAGTTTGGGTGGGCAATGCCGGGTTTATGATGATTACTAAACACACAGGTAATGGTCTTTAACAAAAGGGTTTTTCCCAGAAGCCAGAGCAGGGCCTGGCCGGGACGGCTAGTAAAGTATAAAAATACAAGGTAAATATTCAGATGATGAATGAACTAAAGACAAGTGAAGGCGGAGCTTATGCTTACACACGTCGTTTTTTCTTGGGGTACAAAGGCTGTGGGTGGGTGGGTTTGCAATCAAATCTTGTAACTAAATTTTTCCCGTTTCTAGATAAATTTGAATCCAGTGACAACTCAATAATATCTGATTTTCAATCTAATTGGACATTCAAGTCTTTAAAAGGCAATTTAAAGCATACCATATTTAACTATACAGGGGGAGAAAACAAGGTAAAGAATTAACGATACTAGATCAGTCTGGTGTACTATGTTGACGAACATTTTCAACGACTATGATCTAAGGTCCTGTCATTGCAAAGGTTTTATACTGTTTTAATTTGGGCTGAGTTTTTCTCTTGCAAAGTCTCTCTTAGCTCTAGCTCCGTTTCATATCCTTGCTTAAGACACAGAGGAGCTGTAAGCGGGGACTACCGGATAATTATTCACAGTAAATCTAGGGAGTTTCTCGTTGCATGTACTTGGGCAAATCAAATATATATTTACGCTATTCCAGTTAAAAAATATGTTTTTACGTGTATTTTTGATGTCCACATAGCGTGTTGTGTGTGTGCGTGTGGTGTGTGTGTGTTTGTATACATTCTTCATTGAGTTTTTATAATCCACCACAACTTAGGGTAGCATTTAAATATAATTAAACATCGACAGTAAAACATTTACAAAAATGCTCTAAGATGAAATAGATGGGGAAATTAAAAAAAAAAAGTTAAAGGATTTGATGTTGATTCCACGAAAAAAAAATGCATCGAATAGTTGAAACTCTCCAACGTTCGACGGGTGGTCGGGATTATCTTGTTTTACGAGCTGACAGTTTCAGCTACGGAACAGCACGAGAGTTTGACGTCAAGACGTCATTAAACTTTGCTCAAAATATGGCAAGCATCGAACAGAAATCGTTGCTAAGATTTCCGTTTTACTGAATGATATAGCTTTATGTTGACTGCATAGTGGCATGTGCCAGAGTTGCTTGGATCGGACGTGCTTGTGAAATGGAAGCCGGTGGAAATTCGAACACAAATGGGACAATAGAAAAGGATATGTTTTTCCAACTGGACACGCTTGGATTGAAGCACGATATTTATTTTGACGATGAGTACGGCGATGTGAATCTGACGGGTGTGAGCAACGTTTTGTTTTACGGAGATGAGGGGGTCCCACCCGAAGACGACTTCATCCCCACAGGACGCGTGGTTGCGCTTCTTTTCTTCATTGTCATTTTTCTTGTTGGATTCGCTGGCAACGCACTGCTGGTGTATACTGTGGTGCGTTACGTCGCAATGAGAAACATGACGTACTTGTTTCTTTTGAACTTATCGGTAGCTGATCTCCTCTATCTGTTTGCGTGCTTGCCGTTCCTGAGTGTCAGTCATACAATAATTGACTGGCCGTTCGGACAAGTATATTGTAAGTCCACTTTCTGTTGTGATAATCGGGCGTGGTCTTGAGTGTTAGGATCAAATATCAGATATGGGATAAAGAAGTAGTTTAAAAAATACAATAAACATTTGTAGTGTACTGTCCATTTTAAATACGGGTATCTACTTTTATTTTAAGTCTAATGAACAGCACGTTTGTTGTTTTATGATACGTTCTTGCCACCCAAGTAGCCTACAAATTGGGCCTTTTTATAAAGAAAATTATCACATGTGTCTCTTTGAAATAGCATTCAAGGTTTATATCAAATTTGATACTTTTCAAGACTTTAAAAGTACTTTAATATATAAGTTAGGACTTTGTTAGTATTAGTCGTTAAGATTTTTCCATTAAATTTGTTATTAAAAGATCCCCCAAACCACGCCTTACTTCCTAGAGGGGACGCACGTGCTTTTAGATTCCCACCATGCTATGTCTCACCAGGGGGTCCCAAGACAATCCGTATAAGGTCATCGACTGTTCATTGAATAAATTAAAAAATTGATCGCATTAGTTTTTAAACCAGTTTATATTTTGATTTATCAATACTTGAGGTATCTACTATAAAAATCTTGTACGGTCCGTATAATGATATTTATTAAATTTGTGCGACCATTTACAAAAAAAAAGTTCAAGTGTTAGTGGTTTAATATACTTAGGCGCATGCTCAAATACTCATCATATCATATAAATAAATATCCCATTTTTATGTCACTCTCTTATAATATAAACAGAGAGCTACACAATATTATTAAATTGAGTGTATCTTTTAGTCATAGAAATAATAGACTAATGTACGTGAAAACGATATGTCAGAGAAGATTCATTTTACAACCAAATTGTTACAACTTAGAAAACCGGTTTGCCCGTATTCAAGTATCGCGTTTGTCGTTACAAATTTCTCCAGCTAATCAAAATGACTTTTTTTTCAATTAAGACAATTTTAAATTTCTTCTTAATTACTAATGTTATCAGATAAAAGTATGCATTTTAAACATAATTTATCTTTATGAAAATCATATTGCATTTTTTTTCTCCCTTATACGCCTTTGAAGGTGCTATTGCCTTATTTAGAGTAGACCATTCGAATAAAGATATTTACGATAGTGGACCATGTTCTAGCTGGGTTTTTCCAAATTTCCGCCCCGATCGCTGGGAGCGGTGCAATCATAGCCCCCGACTTTGACCTGTCCACACATTCCGGGCAGTTTGTTTTTGTAGCAGTGGAGCGTGGCGGCACAATGAAAGGTCAATAACCGGACATTTTAGCCGGTTGAAGATGACCGGCCGTCGCCGTGTCCCATTGACCGCCCAACGTTGTTTTCGATGTTTTGGCTCAGGCGGAAGGGGTGGTGGGGAGGGGAGGGCTAGGCTACCAGACCCCATTTCCTGGGGGTGAAGGAGGATAAATTCTCGCGGTCAATGACCTGACTTTCAAAGTAGGGTTAAGCACTTGCATAATCCTGTTCGTCTTAAAGGAGAGAAAAAAAACGATACCCAGGCAAAATATATAATGAAACAAGTAATTTTAAATGTATATCTTTACAAATATTTACAAGACATATAGCTAATCTTTATGTTAAAACTGTATTATTAAATACCAATTTATCTTATTTTAAAACTATTTGTGTAACAACAAGTAAAATACGTTGTAAATAACTTGTTTACATTTTGAGCATTTCTCATTCGCGTCTTTGTTTTAAATGTTTCTAATTGTATTAGCTTTAACATTGGCTTTAACATTTTGAGAAGCCATTTTATGTCCACTAAAACTAATGCATTCTTTCACACCTCTTATATATATATATATATATATATATATATATATATATATATATATATATATATATATAAAATTACCACCATATAAAAATTTGAGCTTAATACTCCCAAAATAATTTCTAGCATGTCTGTTGTAATCCCTTTAATATTCTACAACTTTGCCCACTATAACTTGACAAAGGTTGTCGACCTCTTGCCTATTAAAGGTGAAGGTAGATGGACGAAAACAAGCGGTGAAAAATTCTCGCAAAAATGTTATTTTAAAAAAAAATAATGGCATGCTTCCAACTTTATAGTATTTAACCCTTTTTATGGCGATAAAAAATTACAAATTTATTAAGCCTGGCGTTACATTGTAAACTGTTGACACTGAACGACTTTTGCAGAAGATTCCACGCGTAGTTTGTTGCCATTACCAGGTCGCTCACCCCCGTGTCTTGGTAACGCATGTCATATTAGACAAAGTAGCGACTGTCAAGTTTTTTAGAGTGTCACTTTTATGGTTATTATGTCTACAGCGCCGTGAATTTGTAATATATTTTGTTTGCAGTAGGTAGAGGCTAGAATCTAATAGATATGGCACTACCCAGTAGTGGATTTAACTTTGAATGGGATCCTGATGCTATACAGTCAACTATAATCTTAAGATTAAAATTTTCTCCACAAAAATCATATGCTTTTGAGTACAGAAATTTTAGAAAGTGTATTAACTGCGCTATTGTTTAAAAATCGACTAACCTGTATACCGACTTAAGTTTTTTGAGAGCTTAACCTTATTATACGAATTATATTTGGGAAGACGAAAGTCAACTTTATCTTCTTAACTTTTCCAATAGATTTAAAATGTAATAATAAGATTAACCCAATTACGGATTATGTTGGTAAAAATAACTGTCGCCGTTGTTCCCATCCGCTAGAACGCGTGTACATACGATAAATGAGGCTGTTGACTGCGACATTCCCAGGTGTTCCGGTCACTCCCAAATGCACATTTGTATTATGGATAAGGTCATTCCTTCACACATTTATCCTATCAGCTGACGTTTTACTGGGCTGTACGCAAACCCGACTTGTCTAAATGCATGCTTAAACACATTAATTTTTTTTTTAGTAAATAGAATTTCTTGAAATAAACAGCACAGGTTTTCCATTTTAACTATGCACTAACAATTTAAGTTATTAAAACATGTCTTGTTCAGAGATAAATCACTACATTTTATTATTGATTAAACTGATATGTACAAAGCAACGACAAAAAAATTGACTTCCACCAGTTAAATTCATAAATTATGATTGACAGTCTATCAAAAGTAACATGATATATAAGCAAGTGTTATGTTACTGAAAATCCGAATATTATATTCGAAGTCTGAAATATGCCCCCACACTTAATCATTTGTGAGATGTATTAGTAGATGCGGCAAGATGTAGACCCGAAACATGTTTATCTCTTTCTACCACCACTAAACCTCTTTTATTTTATCTAGTAACGGCAGCCACTGTTTTATTTAACGAAAAAAGTATGAACTTGGTTAATAATAGTAGTCTCAGTGTTATTGAGTTTTTTATTTTTAATTTTGCAGGTAAACTGAATAATTACGTCATGTCAGTGACCATGTCCGTCAGTGTGTTGACCATCACTGCTACAGGTCTTGACCGATACATTGCGGTTATGTACCCAGTCAAGTCCAGAGTTTTAAGGTAGGCACTGCCTTTCGTTCTGTTTAATACAACCCTGAACTTAAGCAACATTAACTTGACAACTAACACAAAGCTTAAACAGTTCTTCGATAATAATATTACTGAGATTCTTTGAAAATGGTTTTAAAGCCCACGGGAACACACATTTTTGTACATAGAAAAGTTTGTTTACTAAAACGTTTTTACTTTAAAAAAATGAAACCACTTTATTGTTTTGGATCATTCTTAAATTTGGAGAGGGGGGGGGGGGGGGATAAATTATATTTTACCTAATTTTACAGTGCAAAGTGACTCAGACAATGATTCATTACGACTTACGAAAACATTTTTTTAGAGATTAAGAAAGTTTAGCATGCGCACTCATTTCAATTATTAAACTCTAATCTTATAAAAAAATCTAGTTATGATTAAATCTAATTGTTTAAAAATTATATACTTACTAAACTGAACTTACTACGTTTTAATTGTTTTTTTTTTAATCCACAGAACAACCAAAAATGCAGTGGTTGTAATAATTGTCTCCTGGATCATTTCCCTGGTCGTCATGGCGCCAAGGATGCTCTTGTACAAAGAAATGAAAATCTACCACGTCTCCTCTCACGTGAGACTGTGTTACCGTGTGGAAAGCTTGGCCCACCTGCAGCTGGACACGTGCTTGAATTTTCTCCTCATGTACCTCCTGCCCCTGCTGGTGCTGAGTGTGTGCCACTTTAGGATCGGCCGGAAACTCTGGAACAGTACCCGGCCAGGTCATTCTCAAAGCGGTCAGCTCAGAACTGTCGCAATCAACGACAGGCGCCGCATCGCAAAAATCGTCTTCGCCATAACAATAGTGTTCGCGGTAGGCTGGCTGCCTATTCATATTTATCACATTACAGAAGATTTCAACCAAGGGCAAGTACTCTTCGGTCAAGTTGTCGACAGGGGCACCATCGTGTTGTTCTTCTCCTTCGGCGCCAATGCCATGAATCCTATTCTCTACTGCATGTTCAGCAGCAGCTTCAGGAAGCACTTTAAGAAAATATTTCATCTTTGCGGCTCTGCTAGGTTCTCCAGCTCCGTGCACAACGACGGTATCGCCACGTTTATTCCATTAAACAAGCGAACCCCTGCTGTTCTACTGCCTCGTCCCGCTTCTTTAATCTCCGACTTACCCAACAATACAATCTTCAAAGAAGTCGGGCCTGTACTGCCTTTGTTAACAGAACAAACCGAATGTAAATCACGGTCCCCAGAGCATCGAAATAATTCCTCACCACTTTCCGTAGGCAAGCTGGCTCACATTGAACTTGTTAGCTACCAAGAACTGAGTCTTACAGAACCAGTATCTAGACTAGCCGTGGAGACTGAGAACTCAGTAGATTCCGATGAAAGTTTGGTTAGAACTAACGTAGGAAGTACATCCAAGCTTAACAGGCGACCACACCCCCACGACAGCCAATTCTGCAAAGACATCGACAAGCATTGCAACGACAATAAAGGAGGATGCAGTAGTAAAGATGATTTAAAACACAACACAGCTGAAAAAGACAACGAAAAAATGTTCAGCGAGGGAGAAAATGTCGAAGACGGTGGTAAACTTGGTAAAATTAAAAACCGAAAAGTGGTTAAGAGAATCGGGATGTACAGGACTCAAAAGACGGGTGTGTCCTCTGATGTCGTATTGCCCTTGATAGGGTTATCAACATGTGAAGACGATCCCTCACGATACGTCACCGAGAAGAAGAAATACCTGGGACAAGGACACAGATACACGCCACAGGATGAGCCATGTAAAGACTACCTCAGTCCTCACCGTAGGTCGTCTAGAACAATAGGCCATCCCGTATTGGTCAAAGACGATGCGAGCAAGCACATGCCAACTGTAGACTAGCAACACAACGATAGACAATTAGCCCGATACAGAACTCAGATGTTACATTACAGCGTGGTGTCATAAACTATTACACTTGGGTGAACAGTGTATTCCCTGTAGGTAGTGTCAACACTAATAAACACATCACACGATTCTTCATTCTAAGACTATATGATTGAATGCATATCGTATCTGGAATTGAGCTTATCTTACAGACATAACTGAAACTACCGAACTCTTAAATGTGCCCTACGTTAATTGGGAAGAAGTAGGCATATCTGAACACAAAAATCCATTGTATATGATGAACTTACAGTATATTTTGTCATTTCCATGTACTAAATTTATATATACCACGGATCGAAATATTGCATCGGTCCCTTGAAAGTTAACTTTGCAAAGGGAACTCGATTCATATTTTCTAAAACTTATAATCGCACACCGTTGTTCAGTCACATTAATGTGTATGCTAATTTTATTTTACTATTCTTGTATGTACCTCACATTTACTTGTAAGTGCTAATTTTTGCTGTTGTATGTAGATGTTGTAAATCTATTTTTTCACAACCAACGAAACTGTATCAATAACTATAACATTCCTATGTTGTATAAAGCAATAAACTTTCTGGCAACTATACGGCTTTAGTGTATCTATGTGTAGCAACTAGGGGGTAGTATCCTTAACATAGCTTCACTAGCCAGCTATTGACATCCGTAGTTAAATTTGTAATGCAGTAGATAAAAGATGAAAATAAAACTGGTTTTGCGACTCTCCACCATGGCTTGGATAGTTTCGCACCTCTAGTTAAATTCGAGATCAAATAAATATTAAATTAAATAGATAGATTCGGTGATTGTAGGGAGTTTTAAATTTATTTAAAAAACAAACATTTAAATGTAAACGTTCTTAACATTTAATTAGTAATTAGGCATCTTATCTTTCTTTGAATGAAATAACACACGTATTTTTTTAGAAGGCATCATTGCTAAGTGACTATTTCTAATTCTTTGAAAATCCCCTTATTGATTATTGCTCTAACCTTTCAACTCAAAATGGCATACAGGTTCAAAACATCTCAAACGAGATTTTTTATTTGGTGTAGTGCGACTATTCGTACAATAAAAAAAAATTGAATGTTTTTAGATAACTTCAGATGACTTAAAATATCATGACATATATATATATATATATATATATATATATATATATATATATATATATATATATATATATATATATATATATATATATATATATATATATTCAACTACACCCAGTATCTAACTCCACTCACTGAACCCCATGGGCTCACCAAAACATTGACTTAAATTTTAGAACAAAAACCTTTATGACGGTAAACATGTTCCGAAAGTAATGTCAGACTGGGGTTAAGTAATTAAAATATTCCAACATCAACCTAAAAAAAAAATCTCGTTTCAAAAGGTATTTATGTTCGCGGTGACGCGAGCGTGCACTGGGCATCTATTTATAGACACAGCGTCCTTTAAATAGATGGCAGTTAGCAGTCCCTTGTCACGACCGGAGAGTTTTATGGACAAAACACGAGAAAAAAAAATAGAAACATTACATTAGCATAGCCTGACATTCCAAGAAGGCTACACAAAGAAAAAAAAACCTGACCTTCATAGACCCCATGGACTGCAAGGATAAGTGTATGATGCAACTAGCATACTAGTCACAGCTTCTAACATTTGCTACTAGCTTAATTGTTTTCTTATTAAACAAAATCGTCACAAAAACACACACACACAAATAAACATCACTGAGAGCTATTCCCTCGAATAAAAAAGCTGACCTTTAATTAATGAGTTTTGTTTTATAAGCAAGACGTAGTGACCTTGAGCTGTTTGTAATTGCTGTTAAATTAATTTAGAAAAAAAAAGTGTCTCATAAAATAGCTTAAAACTAGGTAAATAATTAATGCATTTTAGCAAAAAAACAATAGCTTTAAAAAATAGTTTAAAAGAAAGATTTCTTTCCCAGCCTAGACTTGATGGTACAAAACAATGTGTTGGTTTAAAACAAACATCAGTGAACTGAAAAACTTGGTCAGGTGATTTAGAGGTTTTGTAAATTCTGTATACTAGGACAACAAATTACCTCTACATTAGGACAACAAAAAAACCTTTACTAGGACAAAAAATTAACCCTACACTAAGACAACCTCTACACTGGGACAACAAATTACCTCTACACTAGGGCAAAAAATTACCTCTACACTAGGACAACAAATTACCTCTACACTAGGGCAACAATTTACCTCTACACTTGGACAACAAATTAACTCTACACTAGGACAACAAATTACCTCTACACTTGGACAACAAATTACCTCTACACTAGGACAACAGATTATGATTACCTCTACACTAGGACAACAAATTACCTCTACACGAGGACAACAAATTACCTCTACACTAGGACAACAAATTACCTCTACACTAGGACAACAGATTACCTCTACACTAGGGCAACAATTTACCTCTACACTAGGACAACAGATTACCTCTACACTAAGACAACAAATTACCTCTACACTAGGACAACAAATCACCTCTACACTAAGACAACAAATTACCTCTACACTAGGAAAACAAATTACGTCTACACAAGGATAACAAATTTCCTCAATACAATGAAAACAAATTACCTCTACAATAGGACAACAAATTACCTGTACACTAGGACAACAAATTACCTCTACACTAGGACAACAAATTACCTCTACACTAGGGCAAAAAATTACCTCTACACTAGGACAACAAATTACCTCTACACTAGGACAACAAATTACCTCTACACTAGGACAACAAATTATCTCTACACTAAGACAACAAATTACCTCTACATAAGGTCAACAAATTACCTCTACACTAGGACAACAAATTACCTCTACACTAGGACAACAAATTACCTCTACACTAGGACAACAAATTACCTCTACACTAGGACAACAAATTACCTCTACACTAGGACAACAAATTACCTCTACACTAGGACAACAAATTACCTCTACACTAGGACAACAAATTACCTCTACACTAACAAAATTAACAAAATCTCATTAATAATATCTTCAGGCTTCGGGCTAACCGGTGTTTTTTTTTACGCTTACATCGAATACTAAAAATGAGACAATTTATTTAATTCTAAAACAAATGATCATAGATCTGCATGTTTAAATACAATGGGGTTAGTAGATACTTTTTTTAAAAAATTGTGTGTTTTAGAAAATAAATAGCAATAGTCATAACGTGCCTTGGTGAAGAAATCTAAAAATAGTAGTTCCTCGTGCGCATCAACCCACAGGACAGATGAAGAAGAGTTAATCTATTTCTTGAACGCGTCGTATGAAAGGGATGTATGGCCAACATTATACCCAGCCAACTTTACTTTCCCCAACGTAGGCAGTGTTTCTTCCAGACTTTTTTCTCCGGGGGGGCACATGAAATTTTCGGGGGGGGGGGGCGGTAAACTTTCCTCGGGGGGGGGGGGCGGACACTGTTAAAAGTAAATATTTTCTATATAAATTATATAAATTTCATTTCGTTCGGGGGGGGGGGGCGGTAAAAAATTTTCGGGGGGCTTTGCCCCCCCCCCCCCCGAAGAGATGCCTGGAAGAAACTCTGAACGTAGGTCAGGTACCCGTCAGATCTAGGTGGACAAACAGACCTACAGACTCAAACCCACGATCCGTTCTTCATCCGATTACGCCGTCCCAGTTTAATGCCCTTAATATATTGACAAACTAGACAACATTTAATAGCCTTAAACACCTACGTGGTTTGCTTATATTTACTTGTCAGAACACAAGTCAACAGAACTGACTATCTATACGGACAAGCGTCGTAGAAGGATAACAAATACAAGATACATCACAAACTAAATTTTTATAATGACTTGATTGACCTACGGGTATTATTTTGGTTGTGTGTCCGAACATTATATTGGTCAAGGTGGCGTATTGTCCAGTAATATTACTGGTCAAAGGACGTGATAATCGGACACTGCAGTAGTCAAAATGGCGTATCGGTCGGATATTATATGGGCCGGACATTGTATAGGTCAAGTGGCGTATGGGTCGGACATTGAATAGGTCAAGTGGCGTATGGACATAGGGCAAGTGGCGTATAGGCCGGACACTGTATAGGTCAATTGGCGTATGGGCCGGACATTGTATAGGTCAAGGGTCGTATGGGCCGGACATTGTATAGGTCAAGTGGCGTATGGACATAGGTCAAGTGGCGTATGGGCCGGACATTGTATAGGTCAAGTGGCGTATGGGCCGGACATTGTATAGGTCAAGTGGCGTATGGAAATAGGTCAAGTGGCGTATGGGCCGGACATTGTATAGGTCAAGTGGCGTATGGAAATAGGTCAAGTGGCGTATGGACATAGGTCAAGTGGCGTATGGGCCGGACATTGTATAGGTCAAGGGGCGTATGGACCGGACATACTATGGGTAAAAATGGCCTATCGACCGGACATTGTAGGAGTCAAACGGCGTATGGGCCGGAGATGTTACTGGTCAAATTGGTGTGATGACCGGACATTTACACTAGTCAAAATGGCGTATCAGGCGGACATTGTATTCGTGGCTTTTATTTCATAAAAAATCCCAATCACTTTTTAACGCAGTTTTGATTTTTTAAACATTTCTAATTTTAGGTGCGGTTCTTACTTTTAAAAACTATTCTTTACACCAGAAAAGAAACTATTAATTACATTGATTCATTATTATAGATAAATAGGTATAAAAATGTTTCCATTTTGGTTTAAAAAATACATATGAAATAAGCATAACATTAGTTAAAATCAATAATTATTTAGTTTACGTTCTTATCACACATATAATAAATCCTCCTAAACAATTATTGTTTTTAATGTATTTTTAAGCGTAGTTACGTCACCATTATTTGTGTACACGGACATGGATTGCCATGACGTTTAGGATTTTGCCACCAAAATCGTGTCATGTGCCAACATTGTACTTAGATTATGAAAAACATAAACATAGTGGGGGGTCGACACCCCCGCCCAGGTATTAATCAAACTTGAATCCGTCAAACAACCAAACATAATTAGGTAAACAAACTATATGTGTACTCAGCCAAAGCAGTAAGCGTAGTTTTCATTAGTTTTCTAATGCTTAATGATTCATGACTGTATTGTATAGTGTAGTGTATGGATCTATTTTATTTTTAGTTTTACCTTGCTCAATGGAAACATTTTGAAGTCAAATTTAGTCACTGAATATATTTATTCGAATTATTACCTAGCGCTGTGCCGTATTCAGAAGCTGTAGTGTTTAGTAGCTTCACCTATAGGCAACATTGGCAGCAAAGGTTGGGGAGGGGGGGGGGGGTAGAGAAGGTTGGGTGTGGAGGGGGGTGCAAATCGAAAAGTTTGTCCCCGGGCGCCGGGAAGGGTCGCTACACCTCTGATATTTCATGTTATTCCTAACCAAAGTAGCGTCTTTATTTTTTTTTAACTATGAAAACCTAACTTTACTGATTTATTTGTGTGTCTTTTAGATTAAATTTTAAAATATTCATCACGCCTTTAACAAGTCAAAAATTTGCCTAAAATAATTTTTCATATTTTCAGCTTTAATAAAAAAAACGGCACTTCAATCCAGAGTAAGTACTATTTATAGTCGCTGGGTTCCATGTTGAATGAGTGTTTTTATGTTGTATGACGTATACTAGTAATGTGATATCAAATTTGGGATTTGAACTCTAGCCGTTTCGATTCCTTTATAACAATGAACCTTTGCACTTAAGATTGGCGTTGCTAGTTTGATATGAGAAATACTTTTAAATCTTAAAATTAAAATTTCAAAAATGTTCTTAAAAACTAATCCGATCGCGTAGAATATTAAAAAACTAAATTAAATGAGGCAATTATTTATCAACAAAAAACTGATTAGCCATTAACGCTCTAGGACCAGACTAGAAAATAATTCCATACAGGCCTAGATCTTTATTATAGCAATTGTTACGGTCCATTACTTGTATATTCGTATCAGTTGGCGTCTGTGCTTCTTCCAGATTTTTTTCTCCGGAAGAAGGGGGGGGGGGGGAACACTTAAAATTTCCGGGGTGGGGAGGGGGGGGGGGGAAGGGGCACTAGTAAAAGTATACATTTTTATATAAATTATATTTCGTTCGGGGAGCGAAGAGATGCTTGAAAGAAACTGGTTGGCGTGGAATGGAAAACTGTTGTTTTTCATAACCAATCGAAAGAGATTGCTTTGTGTTTCCTTCTCCAAAGAGCAGAGCTTCTGCGTTAGTTAACTTATGGTGCACGCCTGACTTGATGTTGGTCGGTGTAGAAATAGTCGCATTCTAGTGTCGCTCACGGCATGTGAGAGGGGCTGACTGCTTTGTGTATAGGAGATTGTTAGAATTACTATGATTTTGTGAATCGGGGATTGTTAGACGGACTGTCTGCTTTTGTGTATTGGGGATTGCTAGAGGGAATATCTGCTTTGTGTATGGGGGATTGCTAGAGTGACTGTCTGCTTTGTGTATGGGGGATTGCTAGAGGGAATGTCTGCTTGATTGCAAGAGTGACCAGATAGCTTGAACAGTGAGAAAGTGAACAAAGTGAGGCTTCTCTGCCTTTCGCTCTTGACCCTTAGTTCAAGAGCCAATGGCAATGCAATGAAACATAAAAATTTGACATACTTATTTTAATTTAAATATAATTAATGATTTTAAACTTTTTCTTTTTTTCATCAATTTTAATATATCTATGTAAAGTCTAATAGTTTTGTCATATTTGTCCTCGTCTGGTCCAATGCCTCATGTATTTTTCCAGTCACCTAAAATCATTTTTGTTTTGTTTTTATTTTTGCCTAGTCATGTAAAGTCAGAGAGAGAAAGCCACTATGACTTATGAAAGCGATAAAGCCACACAGCTCCAGTATGAGAAGAAAATCCAGTGTTTGTGCCAGCAGTTGCAGGAGTACCAGAAACAAGTGGATTGTGTGAGTATACGTGTGGGTGGGGTGTGGGGAAGTGTGGGTGGGGAGTGTGGGTGGGGGCAGGAGTACCAGAAACAAGTGATTGTGTGAGTATACGTGTGGGTGGGGTGTGAATGGGGTGTGTGTGTGGGGGGCAGGAGTACCAGAAACAAGTGATTGTGTGAGTATACGTGTGGGTGGGGTGTGAATGGGGTGTGTGTGTGGGGGGCAGGAGTACCAGAAACAAGTGGATTGTGTGAGTATACGTGTGGGTGGGGTGTGGGGGAGTGTTGGTGGGGAGTGTGGATGGGGGCAGGACTACCAGAAACGAGTGGATTGTGTGAGTATATGTGTGGGTGGGGTGTGGGGAAGTGTGGGTGGGGAGTGTGGGTGGGAGGCAGGAGAACCAGAAACAAGTGGATTGTGTGAGTATACGACGTGTGGGTGGGGTGTGTGTGGGGTGGGAGATTGTGGGGGGGGGGGGAAGGATTATCAAAAACAATTAGATTGTGTGAGTATACGTGTGTATGGTGTGGGGCGTTATGTGTGTGGGCAGGAGTACCAGAAACAAGTATATTGTGTGAGTATGCGTGGGTGTGAGGGGAGGGGGTTGGGGGTGATTGGGTGTGTGGAAGGGGTATCCGAGTGGATCTTGTGAGTATACGTGTGTGTGTGGGGGGGGGGAGGTGGTTGGGTGTGTGGAAGAGGTATCGGAATCAAGAAGATTGTGTGAGCATTCGAGGGGGCTTTGTAGTTCTCCTTTAACTATAGCTTATCACGACATTTCTTTCATGCCACCTTTCCTGGGAGGCTACTGGAAGTATTTTGGTTTTGCTATTTTTCCTACCCGTACTAATTTTAGTCACTTTACTCGTACTTAATTTCAAATATTCAAATATCGACTTGTGGTCATCGTTGTCTTAAGGAGTTAAGATGTACACTTGAGAAGACGTGAGTTGATAAAACTCGGAACATTTTTAATTTACTTGAGCCTAAATTTTGTTTGGTGATTTCTATTATAATATTGCCAATAGCATATCACTTAGTAGTTTGTGGCATATAAATCAAATAATGTAAGGTGAATTAGGAGTCAATTAATGCTGGTTTAAACGTTTTAGTCTTTAAATGTCTACAGTAGGTCCTGGATGAGTTAGTTTCAAAGTTTAAGTCTTGAATGTCTTCTACAGCTGAAGGATAAGTTGATTAAAGTGTTTGATTCTTTGATTGTCTTCTATTAAATCAGAATAAGTTGGTTTTAAAAAACGAGTCTTTGAATGTATTCTATTAATCCAAGATGAGTCGTTTTAAAAGTCTGAGACTTTGAATGTCTTCCCCAGATCTAGAAAGTGTTGGCTTGAAAGTTTGAGACTTTGAGACTTTCAATGTCTTCTATGTATCACCGATGAGTCGTTTTAAAAGTCTGAGACTTTGAATGTCTTCCCCAGATCCAGGATGTGTTGGTTTGAAAGTTTGAATGTCTGAATGTCTTCCCCAGATCCAGGATGAGTTGGTTTGAAAGTTTGAATGTCTGAATGTCTTCCCCAGATCCAGGATGAGTTGGTTTGAAAGTTTGAATGTCTGAATGTCTTCCCCAGATCCAGGATGAGTTGGTTTGAAAGTTTGAATGTCTGAATGTCTTCCCCAGATCCAGGATGAGTTGGTTTGAAAGTTTGAATGTCTTCCCCAGATCCATGATGAGTTGGTTTGAAAGTTTGAATGTCTTCCCCAGATCCAGGATGAGTTGGTTTGAAAGTTTGAATGTCTTCCCCAGATCCAGGATGAGTTGGAGCGCACCCGTGGCCGCCTGAACACGTGCTGTCGTGAGCACGAGGACCTGAAGAGGCAGCTGGCCCAGAAAGATGACACCATCACGTGCTATGAGAGTAAATTGGACGATTTAAGTTTTGTAGGTTTGGGGGTTTAACACCTCATATTAGAACATCATACGTGTCTCATTGGACTCTAGGTATCATTTTATCAACACCACAAAGACAGCTTAGGGAGCTTAAGACCAATACCAATAATAAGACATCACGTGCATGTTGAAAATATAACCAAAATCATGTAGAAGTGTCCTTACAGGCTTGACATAGGTGCAGGGGAGGTAGAGTTTATGTTTTTTTGTTTTTTTTTTGTGTGTGTTTCAACCTCAGATAGTGTTGGGATGGTAAACAAGTATTTCAACGCCAAGTATAGACACGGGTACATAATATGGTACTTGTAAAGGCGGACTAGATTTAGCCAAACGGAATCGAACCCACCACTCCCCACGGCCTTGAGACGTGGGTGGGGTGTGGGTACATCAGGACAGAAGGGACAGTAGAGTCAGCGCTATGCCTAACCGACTAAACCTCCCCCTTCTCGTCATGTTGATTCAAATTGGCAATCAATTTCTCCACAATCCTCATCTCATGTTGATTCACATTTTATTTTTAAAAAATAACAACCCTCTAATGATACATATATTCCTGTTCGTGTTTCTGTATTGATTTTTCGAGGCCCGTCGTCTTTACTTTCCCTGACGTAGGTGCACTCAAGGACATGAACGCGGATTTGAACTCGGTTTACTGGTTAGCAGTCGTATCTTCCCACATTCGACCACGCCGTCCCATTATTTAAATCTACTATTTTAATAATTATTTTTAAAATAGTTTTTCACAAATTATCCAATCCATGCTTTAACAACCCATCCATTTTTTTTTCTGTGCAGTTTATATTATTTAAATTTTTTTTTAAAATTGAGTGTTTCACAACGTATCCAATCCATGAAATAAGAACCGATCCAAGTTTATTTATTTTTTCTGGGCAGGAGTTCAAAGAGAAAGAGAAGAACGCCCAGCGTACCGTGGACAACCTGCTGGAGAAGGTCAATAAGTATCACGAGCAGTTGCAGCAGCGGGAAGCGGCCTTGATCATGTGTCGTAACGAGGTCAAGACGCACCTCTGCTCCATGGAGGAGATTAAAACGGATTTCAGCAATGAACTGCAGCAAAGAGATGTTTTGGTAATTGAAACATTTTTTTTTTAAATCTTAAGGTAACGGGCATTTTGATAGTGGCAAAACCATCTTCTGTTTCCAGAGTTGTGTTCATTTACTTCTGTTCATTCCATTATCAATGTTACTAATACTTTCTTGGTTGACTTTTCGACTCCGTAACTTGAATTTCGTGTTTTCTTAGACTTTTTTTTTTTTAAACTAACAATTATAATAAATGACGCCCCTCTCTTTTCCTCCTTCAAATATTTTAATTAATTGATCCAATTAAAAGGCATATCCTAAGTAAACGTATGTAACTTTAATTTCGTGTTTTCTTACAATTTTTGTTTTGTTTTACAAACTATCAATTATAATAAATGACTACCCTCTCTTTTCCTCCTTCAAATATTTTTAAAAATAAATAGAAAAATCCAGTAAAATTAAAAGGCATAATCCGAAGTAAACATGATTGTGCCATGATAGTTTGCTCTAGTGTTTCTTCCAGACTGGGGGGGGGGGGTACTTGAAAATTTCGGGGGGCGGACTAAAATTTCAGGGGGTGGGGGGTGGAGGCGGGCACTGTTAAAAGTATAAATTCCCTATACAAATTCAATTTCGTTCGGGGGTAGGGGGGGGGGGGGTAGACTTTCTTCAGGGGGGGGGCTCCGTTATCCAGAACAGATGCCTGGAAGAAACTTAGGTTTTCTCTTATACATATACATTGATCGTATTAAAATTTTAAAAAGCTTATCTTCTGTTTTCCATGTTTTCCTATACCTGGACTTGCTTGTCCAAAAAACAATGTTCACTAGCTTTATGTGCTTCGATATTGTTCATTAAGCATCTTTTTATTAAGAAAAAAAAGTACCCAGGGTAATGAGCTATTTTCATTTTCCCCGCAGACAAAGCAGATGAAAGAGGATCTCCGACGTGTTTACGAGGATCTGAAATGTAGGTCAGACGAGAGCTGCGTCCTGGAGCGGACGATTGTAGATTTCAAATCGAGGCTCCACCAGTGCTGTTGTCAGCTGAAGGAGGCTGACACTCGTGTTCAATGTCTGCAGGACAAAGTGAGTCAGGCCTTGCTTACTTCCCTGTACCTGATTGTTTTTCGTTGTTTTTTTCAGATTTATAAATCGTTATGTTCTCAATCCACCAACGTAAGGGGTCGTCCATAAATAACGTCACGCTCGTAGGGGAGAGGAGGTTCCGTAATTTTGTGACGATGTGTGATGAGGGAGGGGGGGGGGGGGTTATGATGGTGTGACGTCACACTTTTGCATTGTAAAAATGCAATGCTAGAAACTAGTTGTAGCCGTTGTTTCGCGTTCCAATGGGTGGGAGTACTCAGGAACGTGATCACGAACTCAAACACAAAACTAAAACTCGAGAATTTCAGGATAAGAAATCAAGCGCTCTACCACTTGACCACTCTGTCCCTTTAACTTATTTAGGGTTCAGCCTACTTGTTTTATATATTACGGAAGAAGCAATGGACTCAAGGCCAGGAAATATACTTAAGAATAAGATGCTTGAGTTAGTAATCGATATGGGGATCTAACACAGCTATGTTTACATTTTCGAAAAAAAAACTAATTTGGGCCCCTTTTAATACTGTAAATGGTTCGCGAAACTGGGTCAATTTTAGATTCATTTATCAATTTTCACAACACTTTACAAAGCAACACCAACCAACTAAAAAAAAAAACAGAAAAAAAAAACAACAACAGGTATGTAAAATGTCAAACAAACGCTAAAATCTATATATATAATTCTCTTCTGGGAGCCGTTAGAAAACAAGCTGCAAGCGCCTCCTTGCAGTCCCCTCTCTTTCTCTCTATCACTATTAGGGGCAGATAATTTAGTTTGAAACGATTTTAAACTTACAGGGGGTAACTAAGAGGAGGCTGCTTTCACGGGAGGGATGGGGGGGGGGGGGTGGAGCGGGGTGGGTGTAGGGGGGGTGTAGGGTAGGGGTCGGGGGAAAGGTGGGGGTTAGTGTTTTAAAGCAAATATTTTCAGTGGCAGCATTGGTACTGTCGAATTCACAAATTATGAATTACTGAAAAGTAGAAAATAAAACAACTAATTAGCGGCGTATGATACGCCGCGGGTCGGCTCGTTAAGTTTAAAACTTATAAAAGTTCTACCCCTCCAGGAATGTGACGTCAATCCCCCCTCTTCCACACCCCCACCTCACACGTTGCATGTATTTCTGGCTAGATCCAGCAGATGGAGTCCCAACACACCAAGGAGCGGCAGGCTGCCCAGAACGAGCTGATGGAGTACGACAGGAAACTCTGCTCCTGCTGCAACGAAGTCCAGGCCGCCCAGAACGAAATCAGAAAGCTGAAGCGTTGTGTGACGTAAGCTTCATTTGTGTTGTTGTGTTAGACGTGTGTTCAACGTTTGACGTAAGCTTCGTTTGTCTTGTGTTTCTGCAGGGGTCTCCAAACTTTTCAGTCCGAGGGCCGCATTAACTATCAAATTTCAGTTCGGGGGCCAGGTTCTTTCAGGCATGTCTTTGATTTTTCTGGGCAAAGTTCCTCAGCCATCAACAACAAACGTTTTTTTTCCGTGGACAAAAAGATCTCAGCTGGCCGGATGAGAGGACATCGCGGGCCGCATCCGGTCCGATGGCCGTAGTTTGGAGACCCGTGTGTTAGACGTTTCGTTAACGTTTGTCGTAAGCTTTTGTTTGTGTTGTGTTAGATGTTTCGTTAACGTTTGACGTAAGCTTCTTTTGTTTGTCTTATGTTAAACGTTTCGTTTACTTTTGTCCTAAGCTTCTTTTGTGTTGTGTTAGACGTTTCTTTAACGTTTGACGTAAGCTTCATTTGTGTTGTGTTAGACGTTTCGTTAACGTTTGACGTAAGCTTCTTTTGTTTGTCTTATGTTAAACGTTTCGTTTACTTTTGTCCTAAGCTTCTTTTGTGTTGTGTTAGACGTTTCTTTAACGTTTGACGTAAGCTTTTGTTTGTGTTGTGTTAAACGTTCGTTAACGTTTGTCGTAAGCTTTTGTTTGTGTTGTGTTAGACGTTTCGTTAACGTTTGTCGTAAGCATTATTTGTGTTGTGTTAGACGTTCGTTAACGTTTGTCGTAAGCATTATTTGTGTTGTGTTAGACGTTTCGCTAACGTTTGATGTAAGCTTTATTTGTGTTGTGTTAGACGTTTCTTTAACGTTTGTCGTAAGCTTTATTTGTGTTGTGTTAGACGTTTCGCTAACGTTTGTCGTAAGTTTCGTTTGTCTTGTGTTAAACGTTTTGTTGGCGTTTGTCGTAAGCTTTATTTGTGTTGTGTTAGACGTTTCGTCAACGTTTTAACGTACGTTTTTTTATTGTTGTATCAGATAAAACTTACACCACTAACAAGGAGTTGTTAGTGGTGTAAGTTTTATCTGTATTGTATCATATGTGTTGTAAATGTTTGCCACAAGCTTCCTTTTTGTTTTATCAAAGGTGCCGTTATAGTTATGTGTCCTTTGCTTAAGGGTCCCATTTTATCGGACTGCTTTGATGTGCGGTAGATAGGAGTTTTCTGAAAAAAGTCTACCGCCCCCCGATCGAAATGGAATTTATATAGAAAACATATAATTTTACCTGTGTCCAACCCGGCTAATTTAACCCCACCCCCCACCCGAAGATATCAAGTGCCACCACTTATACTTTTACCAATGTCCCGTCCCCCGTCCCTCTGAAAGTTTCAAGTGTGTCCCCCCCCCCCCTGAGAAAAAAGTCTGAAAGAAACACAGGCAGTTTACTGGACACATAAAAATACATAGGAGGCATTAAAAAAACGGACGAGGTGTTACGTTTTTATCTTGTGTAAGATGTACAAGGATCTCGTGTTTGAAGCTCGTGTGGGTTCACGTGTTTCAGAGAGCGAGATGAAGAGATCCAGAACGTGACGTGTGAGCGGAACACGCTGGTCCGTGACCTGCAGAACGAGAAACAGGAAGTGTGCGCTCTGCAGGAGAGGGTCAGCAGCCTGGAGAACGACAACAAAGAGATCTGTCGTCTGCTACAGCAGAAGGTCAAATGCAGTAAGTTTTGGTGGGAAATTTTGACCGGGAAAAAATGCGCAACGGGTAAATTACGCACAGAATAGTACTTATGGGATTTTTAAAAAAAATCAATGATTCAAAAACATTAGTAAAGAAAGACAACATGTACATGTAAAACATAGCATAATAAAACTTCTTTATTATGGAATATGACCAAGAGGCCGTCCATAAATGACGTCACATTCGTAGGGGGAAGGGGGTGGGTCGGTAATTTTGTTACGGTGGGTGATGAGGGGAAGGGGGTGGGGGTGGGTTCAGATTGTGTGACGTCACACTTTTGTATTATAAAAAAGCAATGTTAGAAAACTAATTATAGCCGTTATTTCGCGTTTTAGAAAACTGTTTTAATAAATTGTAATAGAAATTGATTAAAATACTCTATGTTGACAGAGTTCAGACAAGATTTTGGAAAAATATTGAGGTTTTAAGAAACATTTAACTGCAATTTTGAGGGGGAGGGGGGGTTGTAGGCTGAGGTGTGACGTCATTTTAGGGGGGGGGGGAGGTCTGGCTTTTAGTGACGATGCGTGACGGAGGGGGGGGGGGGTGGGGGTGGGGGTGTACAATCGTCAAAACATGGTGATGTCATTTATGGATGACCCCCAAATGAAATTAGTACATTGGGTCGTATTTGCGCAATATTTCGGTTGCACAGATGTAAAGCTGACACTAATTGTTTTTTTGGTGAGCGAGAAAAAAAACGCGGAAGGATGGGGTAGATTGGTAGAGCATATGGTAACTGTAATGTTCGTAGCATTGGGGGATGAGAAAATAACATACACGTCATTAACACAAACACAGTCGTGTTTTATTCGATACACTCTGGTTTTGTGTCCAGATAATGACTGAGTCAATGACTGATGATTCTCAACTCACTGTTCACAAATAACTACATTACAACAGGGGCGCTACTCTAACAATATTTAAGCTTATGACTGGCCTGGTTGTTTCCCCTGTATAAAATGATTTACTACAGTTTCAATTCACGAAAATGTTGAGTTCGGTTCCCTAACACCAAAAGCCATTTTTTTTAGTTTACCCAGCTTTAATGGGTACCTGACTCTGCTGGAGGAAAGTAGCGGCGTCTGATCACAATACTGACCACACAATCCCTTCACATCCTGACGTTAAAGTCACAATGAACTTATGAGTAGTTAGATACGAAAAAGTGCAAGAAAGAAAATTGAATTCAAACTAAGGTCTCTTAGTTATCAAAAAGCTGTCAGGTATAAAGCTGTCAGATTTTAAAAAGACTTTAGGTAAAGAGACGTCAAATATGAAGGTGTCGTCCCTGAATATCCGTCATATATTAAAGAGCCTCATTCATTGAAGGTTAATAAGCCTGGTAAGTAGGTCACCAACCAGTTCTACGGCTCAATTAAACCTGCATGAGCCATAGAACTGGTTTGTGACCTACTTACCAGCCCTATTGTGGTCAAGAATAAGTCGTAAACACAGAAATAAAACGCCTGAGAGCATATATGATGTAGTAAATTTAACCAGAGGCGTAGCGAGGGGGGGGGGGGGTGCGGGGGGTGCGGAACGCACCGGGTGACACCATTTAGGGGGGGGGGGCCGACACCAAGGCAAAAAATATCAATATATATAGAGAAAAGCTTGAGGGGGGGGGTGCAAATCGAAAGTTTGAGGGGGGGGGGTGCAAATCGAAAATTTGAAAGTTTATCCCCGGGAAGGGTCGCTACGCCTCTGGGGGGTGACACCATTAAGTGCCGCACCGGGTGACACCCGACCTCGCTACGCCACTGAATTTAACTAAGAC